AAAAAAAAAAAAAAAGAACATTAGTGGGACAATTGGCAAACTTAGAATACAGTTTCTAGATTTTTTTTTTTAAGGTTTTATTTATTTTACAGAGAGAGCAAGAACAAGCAGGGGGAACAGTAGAGGGAGAGGGAGAAGCAGGCTCCCTGCCGAGCAGAGAGCCCGATGTGGGGCTCGATCCCAGGACCCTGAGATCATGACCTGAGCTGAAGGCAGACGCTTAACCATCTGAGCCACCCAGGCGCCCCCAGTTTCTAGATTTGAATATAGTCCTGTATCGTTGTCGGTTTTCCTTACTTTGATCACTGTATCGTGGACATGTAAAGTCATGTCCTTGTTTTTAGGAACTTCACACTATTTAGGGATAAAGGGATATTATATCTGCAACTTACTCCCAAAGAGTACAGAAAATAATATATATATATAATATATGCATTATACCTGTGAGTGTACCACTTTCAAAGAATCTTCAGTCACACAGAAGGAGGCATACTTGTCCTGTGAATACTGTTGCAGCAATCCTTATGATACTGTCTTTGGCTATTTAGGAAGAGGAAAATATAAATAAACCTACCCTTTATCTCCTTTAGTTTGAAGTCATTTAATCTCCCCAATAACTAGAAGTAAAAATAACAATATACACCAAGAGACAGGATTTGGTTTCTTTGCTTTTAAAGAAGTATCTCAAGGGCACCTGGCTGGCTCAGTCAGTAGACCGTGAGTCTTGATCTCAGGGTTGTGAGTTTGGGGTTGAATGTTGAGATTACTTAAAAATAAAGTCTTGGGGTGCCTGGGTGGCTCAGTCAGTTAAGCGTCTGCCTTCGGCTCAGGTTATGATCCCAGGGTCCTGGGTTCCAGCCCCGCATTGGGCTCCCTGCTTGGCAGGAAGCCTGGTTCTCCCTCTCCCACTCCCCCTGCTTCTGTTCCTCTCTCACTGTCTCTTTCTCTGTCTGTCAAATAAATAAATAAAATCTTAAAAAAATATATTTCAGGGGCGCCTGGGTGGCTCAGTCGTTAAGTGTCTGCCTTCAGCTCAGGTCATGATCTCAGGTTCCTGGGATCGAGCCCCACATCGGGCTCCCTGCTCAGTGGGGAGCCTGCTTCTCCCTCTCCCTCTGCCTCTCCCCCTGCTTGTGCTCTCTCTCTTTATCAAATAAATAAATAAAGTCTTTAAAAAAATGAAAATAAATATTTCAGAATTAGCATGTATGTTTTTTACCTACCCCATACTTTGTTTCCTGCTCCCCCAGTGGATCAATTTCTCCCTTGTGTGTCCTTGTCTGGGTTGTGGACATGTTGGCCCTTAGAAGCCTGAAGGCAGTACTTGTTTAGGAATACTCTCCCCTCTGACTAGATATTATGGACTCTCTCTCCCGAAAGAAAGCTGTGAAAGAGCATATTGCACTGAGCAAGAAAGCTAGAAATTTCTGGACATTCAACTTGGCTAGTTATATTCACCTATTTTCTACCTCCTGGCTTGGTTAACCAAGAAAAAAAAATCCTTAAGACAAAGTTCTCAGGCATTTTCTGACCAAGTTTGACTTTGAGAACATGTCCTCCTTTTCCTCTTCTATAAAGATAAAGAAGAGAGTGAGGGAATATGGCTAAGAGAGGTGGGCCTTGCCTTCCCCCGACCTGACTGAACTTTAAAACTTCTCTACTAATTAAACAACACTGGGCTCTACACTTTGCTTAACCCTGGAAGCTGGTCATCAGCCTTTGACCTCAGTCTTCCCCTCGTCACCAGCTCCCTCCCCCACTTTAGCTTTTGGAACCTTAGTCAGATTCAGAGGAAAGAACCAGTTTTCAGAGCGATTGCCTCAGAACACAGTATCTCCACTCTCTGCACGGCCCTGTGGAAGATTAGCAACCATGTTTTCCAGTGGGATAGGAACTGTAGCTGCTGGAAAAAGGTAAGAGAGGCAAGTTTTCTCTTTTGCATGCCCTCATTGGGTTTTTTGACCTTCGAAGTTCTCCTGAGGATGGCTTCAAAACCTTGGAAAAAACCAGGCCCTCTCCCTGGTAGTAACAGTAAAAATGTGTTTGGAAGACGTCATTCCAAGTGCCCTCCCTCCCACCCCCTCTTGGGGTAAGCCACACCTTGGGTTCTTAGCCCAAGAAACAAAGGGGGTATCTTCTCCTCCCCAGAGGTGCTGTGTAAGCGCCAGCCCTCACAGCAGCCCAGGAGACTCCAGCGCGGGTTCCCAGGCCTGCCAGACAGCTGAAAAGAGGGAAAATTTAACTGTGAGGATCTCCTAACTCCCTTTTTGCTTCTCTTTCCACTCAGTTGCCCCCACTCCAAGAGCTCAGTGACCTTTGACTGAAGGACAGCAACCCTGTTCCCTTTCCTCACAGTCAGGCCCCCTCCTCCCTCGACACCACACACATTCCCTTCTTGACCTGGGTCGTTTTGGGAGGCTACAGGCAAGGCTGTGGCACCTCCACCTTGGTTTTCCTTCCCCCCACGAACAACGCTCCCGGATCCCCCTCAGCGTCCACTCGGATTTCCCAACGTAGCTGAGGAACAAAAAGGGAAACCAAAGGCAAGCAAGATGGGGAGATGAACGGCAAGGTTCTCCCTCCGCTTCTTCACCCTGCCTTCTATATCTCCCTGAGGGTCTCTGCTTCTCCCCACTCTGTGCCTCTGTTCTTAAAGGGCTGCAGAGCCGGCCTTCCCTCACACAAGGAGCCAAGTACCCCTCAGCTGCCCCCAGCTTCCAGCCAGCCCAACACTCAGCTGCAGACCACCTCCGCGAGTCCTTTCCACCCTGTGTGCGTATCTTTTTCTGCCAGGGGACGACTGAGAAGACTCCATACCCACACGGACTCCCAAGTCAGCCAAAGGAAGCTCCCGGGCCACCCTGTCTTTGTACAAAAATATTACAAGCTTTTCTCCTGGTGGGCCTGACTGTTCCAGTTCTCCTAATTTGCCAGTAGCATGATCTCATTTTTTTAAAAAGTAAGATTAATTTCATTGGCTTTTAGTGAACCCGTGTTGGAAGCATTAAAATTTGCAGGCAGAGAAATGATGAAGGCCTAAGGCTGTGAGAGAGCAGGACACAGAGCTCTTTGAATCCAGGGTCTGAAGACAGGGTGAAAGGGAGGAATGGGGGGGGACTCCCGGTTTCTGGCTTGGATGTCAGCCGGCAGGAGGCTCCCATTTGCTGAGCTGGAGGATGGAGGAGGAGAAGCAGTGGGTGGGGGAGACTTATAAGGACAATCTGGTCGTATTTCCCTAAGGAAGCTTCAGGCCGTCCAGGTGGAATTATCTGGCCCCCGCTCGGAGGGCGGGGCCGGGCTGGAGCTGGAGGCCTGCGGAGGCTTCGCCCTGTTCACCCCCCCCTTTTTTTTTTTTTTTAAGATTTTACTTATTTATTTGTCAGAGAGAGACAGAGCACAAGCAGGGAGAGCGGCAGGCAGAGGGAAAAGCAGGCTCCCCGCTGAGCAGGGAGCCCGATGCGGGACTCGATCCCAGGACCCTGGGATCATGACCTGAGCCGAAGGCAGCCACTTAACCGACTGAGCCACCCAGGCATCATCCCGTTCACCCCTTCTTACCCCTGTTGTATTACTGAAATCTCTGCTGCATCAACCCAAATCTCCAACCCTTTCACATCCAGGAGGCCGTTCCTAAACAGCTTCTGTAAAGGGCTCCTACTAGTGCCCCAGGTCTGCGCTGGGCGCTCGGGTTCCCTGCCTGTATATCATGCGTGGGTGTCTCATCTCGCCAGCCGGAAGCTGTGCGTTCTTTATTTCTTCCAGCCTTGGGCCCGCGATGCTTTATAACCATCAGCTGCTGCAATGGTTGATTTTAATTTCAACCTGACTATGTCCAGGCAAGTGGAGAGATCCACGACGGGACTTGTCCTGGGCCCTTGTACTTTGTGAGGGTTTGGGCCCGCCTCCCGGCCACACCAGCTGGGCTGGAATCCGGTGTTTGACTGGGGCAAGTCTGTGATGGGCAGCGGGGATTGGGGTTCTCCCAGCCAAGCTTAACTCAGCTTTCTGTTCCCCTATAGGAGGGCATGTCTTCTGTCCTTGGTGCTCATTGGCCTCTGGGGCTGTGTGACCTGTCGCTGGAGCCCCGTGGAGGACATCTGCGCAGCCAAGCCTCGGGACATTCCGGTGAATCCCATGTGCATTTACCGGTCTGCAGAGAAGAAGGCAGTCGAGGATGAGGGCGAGGAGCAGAAGATCCCCGAGGCCACCAACCGGCGAGTCTGGGAACTGTCCAGAGCCAATACGCGCTTCGCCACCGCCTTCTATCAGCACCTGGCGGACTCCAAGAATGACAACGATAATATTTTCCTATCGCCCCTGAGTATCTCCACAGCTTTTGCTATGACCAAGCTGGGGGCCTGTGACAACACCCTCAAGCAGCTGATGGAGGTACAGTCGGGAACCTTCCTGCCTAGCCTCCTTACTGGACCCCAAGGAAACGTGTGGTCTAGAGCCCAGTAGAGACGTTAGGTGGTATCCCAGTCTCTTTGTGCTTTTCCCCTTTCTCCTTCCTACCCTTTATTCTCCTTTTACCCATGTATTCATTTAGAAGACATGAGCTGAGTATTTATGCTGTGCTGGGTGCTGCTCTTGAAGGAGCTCATACGTGGGGTGGCTGCTGGTCAGGGACTGACCCCACCGCGTTAGCCAAGCTCCTCCACCATTTTCTTTTGGCTTCCACAGGTTTTTAAGTTTGATACCATCTCCGAGAAGACGTCTGATCAGGTGCACTTTTTCTTTGCCAAACTGAACTGCCGACTCTATCGAAAAGCCAACAAGTCCTCTGAGTTGGTATCAGCCAACCGCCTTTTTGGAGACAAATCCCTTACCTTCAATGAGACCTATCAGGACATCAGTGAGGTGGTGTACGGAGCCAAGCTCCAGCCCCTGGACTTCAAGGTGAGTTGCAGATGTCGTCCCCGACCTCAGAGTTCTTCGTTTCCCCTCGGAGGTTGAGAAGGTAGAGAAGCAGGATCCAGGATCCAAATGAACTATGGGCTATGAGCTATGCTAGTTGAAGGCAGGTTGGGGGTGGGGAGTGACTAGAAGTCAGCACCCCTGGACTTGCTTGAAACCTGAGAAATCAATAATATCTATGGCTTAGATTGTGGTGGCTTCTCTGAAAAAGTTGCATAAATAATAAATTCTTCATGTTATCCACCAAGATGCCAATCCTACAAGACACCTTATTTAATTTTTAAAAATTACCAGGATCAAATAAAATTGGCGTATGGTGTGTGTCATATTCTCCTCTTGGAGATTCATGAAACACCTGAGCCTAGTAAGTTTTCTGAGAAGTCTATTGGCTTTATTCAATCAGCATTTCTCCTTTTTTATTTTTATTTTTTCCTTTTTTATTTTTATTTTTTTTGGCCACATAGGCATCCTTCCTGCCCCTCACCCCTGCATAACTCACTAGCTTCTGGATATGTCAGAAAAAATAACATTTTGTTTTCTTTTTCCCTGACTATTTTCCTCTTTTCTGTTCCTTTATTTCTGTTTCTCTTTCTTCTATTAATATTTACTAACCATCTGGAAGATTCATGGCATTATACTAGATATGTAAGTTCTCCCCAATCTGGGTTAGAGTGGGAAATGGTGTGAAAGGGCAAAGGGCTGATGAATAAAATGAAATGTTGTGTGGGGAAGTGGAGAAGCCCACTGAAAGCACAGGTGGGTAGGTTTGTTTCCTATTCTCCTCAGGAAAATGCAGAGCAGTCCAGAATGTTCATCAACAAATGGGTATCCAATAAGACTGAAGGGCGTATCACTAATGTCGTGCCACAGGATGCCATCAACGAGCTCACGGTCCTGGTGCTGGTCAACACCATTTACTTCAAGGTACTCAAAATGGCCCTGGAGAGACCCAGAGGACTTCCTCTTGTCCTCCAGCTCACCTGCTTTCACACCATTAGGCATTAGATAGGTCCTCTCTGAGAAACGGTCCATGCATGGCCTGGGCAGAAATACAAATTTATTGAGAGTCTAGAACCATGTCTAGGGCCACGGCTGCTGGCCTGAAGTCTAGGGGGGCCTGGCCGTGCCTCTGGGCCCAAGGAAGAGTGTACGCACTCACAAATTTAGCAAAGTATGTGTGGGGATGAACTCTCATACATGTGTGACCATTTTTGCTATCCAGTTAACTCCATTTTGAAATCTGGAACAACATGATAGACTCTACTGACAGTCCTTGGTGATGAGATTTTCTCCATCACCTGGAGCAGCTTCAATAGTGATTCAAAGTTCCCCTTGCCCGAGGCTTCTGAACCCCCTGGTGCCAGGCTCACCCCAAATTTTGCAGAGTCCTGTGATTTGTGTGGATGGCTTTGTCTTTCTCAGAGTCGAGAGTTCTAAAGGCTGCTCCAAATTGAGACATGTGGGAAGGAGACTGAGGGGGAGCGTACTGGGAATAAACAGACCATTGATCCTCAGGAGGGCCACAGGTTTAAGACGGGGGGACCTGGGGCACATTTGCCCATCGTGGGTCGTGTTCCACATGCCCTCTCACCCCGCACGGAGCCCAGGAGTTCAGCCAGTCCCTGCTGTTGCCAGCCACTCTGTCTCTTGGGGTTTCCCTCTCCCCCAGCGTGGAGAAGGTTGTAGTTACCCAATATGTATTGCCCTTTAAGGTTTACAGAACACCTTGCTGTTTATTAGCCCTCTTTATTCTCATAAGATCGTCAACGAGACCTTGGGCCTCTCAGACAGATTACTTAGCTTAAGTCCTGCCTCTTCCATTTCTGCTGTGTGAACTCAGGTGAGTTACCGGAGACCTTTCTGTGCATCTCTAAAATGGGAATAATGATGCACCTCCCTCACGGGTTTCCTGCCCCTTGACCCCTGAAGAAGTGAGTGCAGCTGAAATGCTTAGAGCAGTGCCTGGCACACCGTAAGCATCCCGCCAATACTAGCCATCTCTCATTTTACAGGCCAGGACCCACCACTCCAAGAGTTAAATGACTTGTCCCCAAATCAACCAGCCAGAATAGGACAAGGAATGGTAGTTACAACTCAGAAATTTCAAAGGGATGTCTTGTATCCCAGGGTCCCTCTGTTTTTGAGCAGGAAGTTAGCCAGGACTCACCCTCTGCTGGGCAGGGCTCCGGGACAACCCCCTGGGTTATTATCTGTGTCTGGCCTTCATTTATCAGGGGCGGAGCCCAGCCCTTTGGAGGATGGCCCTTGAGAAAGAGGCGGGTGGGAGGCAGAAAGCCAAAAGACAATTAGATTTAAACTCAAAAAGATGCTTGTGAAGAGGCCAGTAAGTTGTTCTGGGTTTTAGTTTTTTATTTTTCTGGTTATAAAGCAAATAAACAGCCACTGCTGAAAATCCGGGAAATACAGAAAAGTTCACAGAAAAAAACCACTCATAATTCCATCGCTCTGCCACAGTCACTGTAAGCCTTTTCATGCATAGCCTCTAATCTTTTCTCCTAGTAATTCTGCCTGCATATTAGGGTGATAAAATAATGTGACTATTTCCCACGTCAGCATTCTCCTATGGAGGGTTTTGGTCTTCTCGCTGTGATTCTCCCACTTGCTGTCTCCCCCCCCCCAACCCCTGCCAACCCCCAGGGTCTGTGGAAGTCAAAGTTCAGTCTTGAGAACACAAGGAAGGAACTGTTCTACAAGGCTGATGGGGAGTCGTGTTTGGTGTCCATGATGTACCAGGAAGGCAAATTCCGCTATCGGCGAGTGGCCGAAGGCACCCAGGTGCTCGAGCTGCCCTTCAAGGGTGATGACATCACCATGGTGCTCATCCTGCCCAAGCCTGAGAAGAGCCTGGCCAAGGTGGAGCAGGAGCTCACCCCAGAGATGCTGCAGGAATGGCTGGATGAGATGGCAGAGACCCTGCTGGTGGTCCACATGCCCCGCTTCCGCATCGAGGACAGCTTCAGTGTGAAGGAGCAGCTGCAAGACATGGGCCTTGTGGACCTGTTCAACCCTGAGAAGTCCAGGCTCCCAGGTTAGCCTAGGAAGGGCGTTTCTCTTCCCTCGGCCTCCCAAGGTGGTCCGAGCAAAGATAAAGAATTGGGGAAAGAGTAGAAAAGAGCAACGGGTCAGGAGTAGAGCAAGGGTTCTACTGCTAACTCAGGGAGACCCTTCCTTCCCAAGGTCTGGTTCCTCTTCTGTATCCTGGGGACTTTGCACCTGGATGTCCAGGAACCCAGCTAGCACTGGAATGCTTGGAGACCGTAACTGGTGTGGGGGATGGGACCAAGTAGAGAAGACCTTGAAAAGACATCAGAATTCAAAGCAAAGATATGATTCAGAGCTGGGGACATCTTGGTCCCACACAATAGGCATAGCTGATGTTGAACAGCCTGATATTCCAAAGGGCTCATGAGTTTTCCCTCAAGTCACTTGGACAACAGATGCGGCCAACCTTCCCCAGCTGTGAGACTTCAGCAAGTGTTCTGCGGTCTTGGTTCCTACAGTCTACCATTCTTTAAAAATATGCATTAAAATATCTTTTTACAAAAGAAGTTTACAATGTCAGGTAATTGAATTTACCTTTAATGGGCTGCCTATGAACTAGATCTAACCAGGGGCCCCTGGCTGGCTCAGATGGAAGAGCATGTGGCTCTTGATCTCAGGGCCGTGAGTTTGAGCCCCACATTGGGTGTAGAGATTAAATAAAAGTTGAAAAAAAAATTAAACTAGGTCTAACCAACTTCTCTCTTGAAAACGTTGCCAGACTGGAAAGAAAGACATTCCTACTAGGTGGGGTGAGTTTTTCTTTAAGAACAGAGTCCCCTGCCCCCTTCCAAGAGCTGAAGCGTGAGATTACATTCACAGGAGTTAGGCTGAAAAAGCCTAAAGGACTTTATTCTTTTAAACATGCATTTATTTATTTAGGGAGTATCACTAGGTGAGGGTTCAGGGTTTTTATTTTTCCAAAAAAAAAAAAAAAAAAGCCCCAAAGGACCTCTTAATTCAAACTGAATTCCTTTTTGTGGGTTGAAGCTGACTTTCTCCCATTTCACAGAAACTTCTCTGGTCTTCCTTCTAGGTATTATCGCAGAGGGCCGGAGCGACCTCTATGTCTCACAGGCATTCCATAAGGCCTTTCTTGAGGTGGGTACACCTTCCTTTGCTGTCACTTCCTTTTCCAGTATATCAATATCTCATGTGATTTGTAACTAGGGACTTCTTGCTCCGCTGGGTCTATGGTCTTCCAGCAGGTATGTGAACAGCAGGACACAACTGGGGAAAAAGGCATGTTTCCAGTGTCCCTCAAACCCCAGATGTGTATAGCCCCCTCCTCCATGAGGCCTCCCCAAGACAGCCCTCCCCTGAAGCCCTCATGGTCCCATTGTTCCACCCTCCCTCCCACTACTTCTCCTGAAGCAGGTCAAATATGTAGGGGGAGGGTGACACAGGAAAAGAAGTCAACAAAGGCTACAAAGGCTTCAGAAGGAAGGCAGAATAATTGTCACGAGAGTGAGGAGATGCAATAGCTTGAAAAAAAGGGTTATAGTCTGAGAACATAGTGTCATTATAATTCCAACAAAGGAGGAGAACCAGGAGAGTGGGCACTCATGGAAACCCAGGGAGGAGTTTTAAGGAAACAGAAAGCATCTGGTAACAAGATTGAAAATCGGCCATAGGTTACCATTCCCTGAGGAATTTAGAACAGTGGGGGCACAGGCCTGATTGTGACAGCTGAAGAGCAAATGGAGGGTAAAGAAGAGGAGCTGAGGAGAGTGGATCATGTCCTAAAGTGTGTTCTAAAGCACTAGAACTCTACGCTGCAAAGAACAAAGTTTGGTGGCCAAGTAAATGTGTATCCTCTTCTTGGGAAATTAACAATGCACACTAAGAAGCCCCACAGTGGAAAAACTGGTTCAATATTGCTTAACCTGCCAGAGGGAAGGTGGGGGAGGGTGATGAGTGAAATAGGTGTTGGGGATGAAGGAGGGCACTTGCCATGATGAGCACCAGGTAATACATGCAATTGTTGAATCACTATATTGTGCACCTGAAACTAATATAACACTGTACGTTAACTGATTGGAATTAAAATAAAAACTTAAAAAAATATATTGCTTAACCTAGTGTTTCCCCAACTCAGGTGCCTGTGGAACCCTTTACTAGAGTAATAGCTATGTAAAGCCTGTCAGAATTCTGGTTCTCAAATACTGAACTATGGACCAGTAGCACTAGTTCAGTGAGGAGCTTGACTCTTGGGGAATCCAGGATGGGGCCTGAGAATCAGCATATTTACAAAGCTCCTCAGGAGATTTAAATCCACAACCAGGTTCGGGAAGCACTGTCCTCTGGGGGAACCGGGCTATGAGGAAAAGGGGACGGCCGCTGTTAGAGACGGTCACGGGATTGAGGAAACCACAAAGAAAGAAGGTTATGGTCAAAGGAGAAAGGTTTCAGAACATGGTGCTGGTAAATACAGTGGCAGAGTCCAAGCTCAGTGAGAAAATGTCATCAGGAGGGAAGCGGAGGGATCAAAGAGCAGAAGGAAAGCAGAATAATTGTCACGAGAGTGAGGAGATGCAATAGCTTGAAAAAAAAGGTTACAGTCTGAGAACATAGTGTCATTATTATAATTTCAAAGGTAGAACAATTCTGAGAGATGGCAAGTTCAAGGCATGGCCATGGGACTGTTTTGCTTAAGTAGAGTGAAGGTAATGCTCATTGGGGTTGATGAGGTGAAAGGAAGGGGAGTTAGTGTGTTGACTGGGCCTCCTACCAAGATAGGTAATTGTCTGCATCCAACGATAGCAGGAGTTAGGGTGGACAGGAAGGCTATGAGTGAGGTGCGCAAATCCTCAACGTGGGGATATAATCCATAGGCCCACAGATGTCGTGACCTGCAGGACAACAGCAAGAGCAGAGGCCTGTATCTTTAAGGTATCGAGATCAGACCTAGGGGTTTGACAGGAGTACTGAATTAGTGGTTTTGGAAGTTGTACAAAAGTCACTACTGACCCCGTTCTTCCACATGGATTATGAAGATTAGTACACTTAGGAAGAGGGTGAGGGAAGCTATGTCCTCAGTGTTTTAACTCTGATTGAAAAATCCTCCTCTAAGGACCCTAAATAGAAGAAGTCAACTCAGACACCCTTGAGGGCTTTGAGTTCCCATTAGGAAGAAGCAGAGGTTTGGATTCATTTTATCCCCCTTAGCCCACTAAACGATGGTGCAAGGTTTCTCCAAAGCTCTTGGAACAAAGTTGTTCCCCTTGGAAACCTTGGGAACCCAATATACAGGACCCCAACTGATTGTAGATCTCTTGGGAAGCCATTAGAAGCCAGTGTCTGATTTGAATAAGATGATCCTGGTCTTGGCAACAGCTCCAGGCCGCTCACAAATCCAGTCCTAGAATGACCATGAAACAGCACGGGGAGATGGGGGCATAGGATGGTAAGGAGGCAGGGAAGAAGAGTGACAGGGAGAGAATATCTTCAACCAGCTCTATAAAGCTCAGGGATCTGAAGTGCTTTCATTAAGAGGCAGGGACAGAGTTTTGGTGATATTCTGGGTCCCCAAGCAAAATTTTCTGAAGGTGTCTCTCTGGCAGGTCAGCTTATCAGCAATTTAAAATACCAATGTGTCAGACCATTACTCCAAAAAATACTCACCTCATTCAGCCAGAGGACTCTTGTCTTTTCATAGGCAATGTCCTGAGTGGCTGCTTGGGGTAGTTCTATCTGGGATCTTGATGCCCCAAGAGTGAAACTATCTCAACTACAGAGTTCTGATCTTGAGTCAAAGTCCCTTCTAGCATCTGGTACAAGGTAACCCTCCTGCCATATCCCGCACGATGGGGCCGGCCGGAAACGCGGCAGCCTGCTGAACGTGCGCATTCCTGGCTCAGGAGTTACCTGAATGGAACCCTTGCTCTTACGCGGCACGAGGCTTGGAGGAACACAGGTGCTCACCTCAGTATTCATCGGCTGAAACAATGAGTAAAAGTCGCGTTCTGGCGGGAACGCCACCTGACCCGAGGGTACTTCCCCCCCCCGCCCCCAGAAGACAGCATTCTGAGGAAGGGCTGTGTCTGTGCGTGACCTCCCGCCTCCGAGGAACCGCAGGGCAGGTAACGCAGCCGTTGTGTCTCCTCTGTGGTCTGCAGGTCAATGAGGAGGGCAGCGAAGCTGCAGCAAGTACTGTCGTCAGCATCGCAGGCCGTTCGCTGAACTCCAGCAGGGTGACCTTCAAGGCCAACAGGCCCTTCCTCGTTCTCATAAGGGAGGTTGCTCTGAACACTATCATCTTCATGGGCAGAGTGGCCAACGCTTGTGATCACTGAAGTGTTCTTTATTTTTTGTACCTCTTCCTATTTTGGTTTGTGACAGAAGTAAAAATAAACACAACTACTCCCAGTTATGAATGGATTTTGCCACATGAAGTGAAGACAAGGGGAGGAGAAATGGATAGAGATGCTGGTGGGCATTTGGTCAAGCGAGCACTTTCAATTGTTCTCTACCAGTGAGCACACCTGGGTCAGGAAAGTGAAGGAGGGGGGCGCCTGGCTGGGTTCAGTCAGCTAAGCCTCCCACTCTCGCTTTCAGCTCAGCTCATGATCTCAGGGTCGTGAGATCGAGCCCCGAGGCCCACACAGGGCTCTGCACCTGGCAGAGTCTGCTTCTCTCTCTCCCTCCGCTCCCCCACCTCCACGCTCGCTGTGCACATGCTCTCTCTCTTAAAATAAAGAAATAAATAAAATCTTAAAAAAAAAAAAAAAAA